GCCAGTACCATGGACATCAGCACTGGTCCCAGTCTCTCCCTTAATGAGGTTCAGGTCACCGCACTTGACTTATAGGAACCAAAGATTAAAAAGGGAGGGAAGGAATTACAAGAGTCCCCCCCCCAAACCTCCTAGGGCCAAGACTGGTCTCATGGAGCAGGAGGCTGGAATCACATCCTGAGCCCCCCTTCTTGTCGGGCATTTCCAGGATGTGTCTGCCCCTGTGGTCTCCAAACTCAAAGTCCGTCTCTAAGACGACTTGGATCCTTAGAGCAATGGGACAGTTCAGTGTGTAGAGACTATTAAACTGCAGTGGCCCAAGACCTTGAGGTATGAAGGACCTCCAGGGGCTGTCTCAGCCCACCCAGAGCCGAACAAGAGTCCCCTTGGTCCTGACAAGTGGTCGTCCTGCCTCTGCTTGGAGATCTCCAAGGATGGGGAGCTCACCACCTCCTGAGACAGCTCATTCCTCTCTAGGATAGCTTTCCTTGTTAGGAGCCCAAGACCGGTTCTTTGCACCTGCCACCCGTGTTTCCTGGCTCTGCCTCCTGGGACCATCCTCATCCAGAAATGGGGCCCTTTAGATGCTTGAAGAAAGGCATTCTGTCCCAACCTAGGCCTTCTAAACATCCCCAGCTCTTCAGCCAGATCTCACACGGCCAGAATCCAAGGCCTGTCACAAGCCTACGGCTCTTCTCTGGACACTCGAGATGATCAGAGGTCTGGTTGATGATTGAATCCCCCTCCCCCCAATGCTTTATCCAGATAAAGAAACTGAGGGAGGTTAACTGACTTGCTTAAGGTCACACAGCCAGGAAGCAGTAGTGCTCGGATTCCCGTCTGCCATGTTGGCAAATGTTGTCTGGAAATCCATTTGGGAAAAAGACTTTGCATTTGCAAGATTGGAAAGAAGATGCTTGATCCTAAGGCCCCTGACCACTGTGCGTACATCACAAACACCCAAAACACCTTGTCTGAGGCCACCTGGGAGGGAGAATGAGGCCATGAACCAATGGCAAGGAGGGAGCCCAGGAGTCACAGGTTAGGCTCAAGCCGGCAATATGACCAGAGTTTGGGAAGATAATGGTGAGCCCAGCTAGAGTCTATAGAGTTTTACACGTGCAAAAATAGGAACTATTCTGTCCCCCCAAAACCCACTGCTTGGAGCAGAGAAGAAGCAATAATCCATCAGACAGTGAGCCTCTGTTTTTGCCTTTGTCTAACCTCGCATCCCTAAGGCTGAGCACACACTATGCTTAACTTGGGTTGTTTGATCTATTAAATGTTAAGAGATCCGTAAGTGGATGAAAGTTGAGGGTTTTTCCTTTTTCCTTCTCCCCCCTCTCTCTCCCTTTCTCTTCTTTCCTCTCCCTCTCTCTCCCCCTCCTTCCCTCTTCCTCACCCTTCCTTCCCCTCTCTCTCTCTCTCTCTCTCTGTCATTTCTTGAGGTCAAGAGCTACCTTTGGTTTTCTATTTCCATCCCTAACACTTAGCACAACGCTTAGAATACAGTAAGCACTTAATAAATGTTCTTGTTTTTTAATTCATTCATCCATGTGTTCCCCTGCCCCCGCCCTCATTCTTTCCACATTTCCTTTGTATTTCATAGTGAGTAGCAATGGATTCTGTGATTGGGAGCTTCTGCAGCCTTCCCTCCTCTAGCCGCAGCATTCTCGCAGAAATCTCCACAGCCGGTGCTCGTCCAAGGTTTTCCAAGTCACCACTAGAGGGAACCAGGAGACTGTTTCGTTTTTTGTTTTTGTTTTTGTTTTTAAATACATGAAAAAGGGAGCGAAGGAAGAGCCAGGTGGTACTTGTTTTTAGAAATAAAATTGGTGCTGGAGATTGTCCTGTCCCCAACAGGGGATCACAGCAGATGTGGCAGCGGACGCCTCCAGTCATGAGGATGTAATATCCCAAGACTTAGAGGAGAGAAGGTGCCCTTTAATGCAAGCAGCACATCCAGGAAAGGGGCCTGGAGTCTGAGTCATTAAGACCTGTGTGACCTTGGAAGAGTCATTTCTTTCTCAGGACTTCAGTTCTGCCATCTGTAAAAAATAGGTGGGGGGGGCATAGGAGAAGACTGGGAGAATGTAAGCTCCCTGAGGACAAGGTTAGCTTCACTTTATTTTTGGATCCTCAGGGCCCAGCAGGTGTCTGGCCCTCAGAAGGTGCTTGTTAGTGCTTATACATTGGGGGGTTGATGTCTCGGTTCCTTTTTAGGGCTAAATGTAAGCCCTAGAACACCTTTCTTTTACTTCTGGCAGATTTGGGAACGTTGGACCCCCCAGGTCTGACAGACTAGTGGGTCTTCATGTCACCACATCGTCATCTGATCTCCCAAAAGAAGCCACTGGTGCTAATTTAACATCAATAACCAGACTGGTAGCCATTGTAGCATTTTTTAGAACCCGGAGGAGAACAGAAGGGTGTTCCAAAGGGGGCAAGGCCAAGCAGGAAGGGGTCAAATTTATCATATTCTTTAAAAAGTGAATGCAAGTTATACCTAAAAGACTGAAAGGAATTATCCCAGCCTCAACCATTAAAAAAAAAAAAAAAGCCTGTGACCTTCAAATTCAATTCAATAGAATAAATAAGCCACAAGCACCTACTATGGGCAAAGTACTGGGAATGTTAAAAATGCCAGAAGGCTCAGAGGCATTCACAACTGCCAAGAAGGTTCCAACAGAAAGGTCCGTTTTTCACTCTTCAGGCTGGAATTCTGACTGGTAAAAAATGGAGGGTTAATGTAGCACTGAGCAGAAACATGGAACAGGGAAGGAACAGTGGCCCTGGGCTCAGGGAATCAGAGATTTGGAGCAGAAGGGAGCTTGGAGGCCAATCAGTCCAAGACCCTCCTTTAAAAGAAGAAACGTGAGCATGAAAGTTTATTGACTTACCCAAGGACACACAATTAGTAAGGATCTAAGGCTAGATTTGAACTCGGGTCTTAGGTTCTATTCACTGGGCCAAAGAGCAACTTAAAAATCCCACCTCTGAGGTTGTTCCCTATATGACCCTGATGACCACCACCACATGTGTGACCACTCTGGGCCTCAGTTTCCTCATTGGTAAAATGAGGGGGTTGCATTACATGGGCTGTGAAGTTTTCTCAGCCTCTAGAAATCCTGAGGCCCCGAGCTCCCATTCCAGGTGTGCTCCTGCTGAATTCTGGAGCCCGCCGAATCGGGCTGGAACCTCAGGACCTCCAAGGGAGAGGGCCGTCCTCCGCTGGTGGTCATGCATCTCCCAGGTGCAGGACAGTTCTCCTGGAACAGCTCTCTTTGGCCCCGGGGGCAGGGAAATCTTTGAGGTGTTTTATATTGAGAGAATCATGATGCCAAAGCAAGACTAAAGAACAGCAGTGGATTCTCAGGAGAAATATGGCCACTGGGAGGCTGGGGGGGAGTGTCAAGGAGAGAAGGAAAAGGAGGCTTACCAAGAAATGCGATTTTGGAAGGAAGAGGGAGAAGGACATATCAGGGATGAAAAGGAAGACCAGCCTTGACATTAAAACAAAATGGCAAAAAGCGGATGTCTTACCCTAAGCTTCCCATTTTACAGATGAAAAAATGAGGCTCCGAGAGGAGATGTGCATTACACAGTGTCAGCTGGGTCGTAAAGGAGCAGATCCAAGATTCAAACCCAAGAACTTGGGAAGTGCGGCCATCTTCGTCTTAAAAGATGTGGATGATGGACAGGAAGGATGTGGCAGCGTGGGAGGCTTGGCCGCAGCAAGTAAACATGGTGCCAGCCAGCATGCAGCTGCTCTCCCAGCACACAGGCCGCCATCCCTGCTCCTCCTCCCCTCATTTCCTTAAGAACACAAACTGTGTGTGGGGGGATGATGTGAGAAGGATGGCTCTGGCTTCACAGGTCCTGGGTGTGAATCCCTGATCTCCCAACGGAAGGAAGATCTAGGAAGGTCTCGCTCTCTGGGCTTCTGTGATAATGAATAGAATAAGCACTAGATGGTCCAGAAGGGCCATCCACCTTGATCCATATGCCTCTCCACTAAGCGTTGACCTTGCATGTCTAATCTTTGCAAAGAAGGCACAGAGCAAAGCAAGGGGTGGTTAGGGGAGATGGAGGCGGGCACACGGACGTCTATGGCAACTGGGAAAACCATCCATTGACCTGAGCAAAGAACCCCAGCTCTGGGGTAGGAGGGTGTGGATTCAGATTCCACCTGCCACTTTCTGTATACACTGGGAGGGCAAGTCATTTATCCTCCCTTGGCCTCAGGCTGTTGATCTGCAACAATGATGACCTCTGATTCAGCTCTGAATCTATGGTCATCAAGTTTGCATCAGTCCCCAAAACGTCCCCACATTTTAGCAGACACAAACCATTCTGAGACGAGGGTTAAAGAACATGCTTTCATTGCCCCCTCCACTTAACCATCGCCCGATGACTCACTGTGGTCTGGAGGTGACCGCTGAAACTCAAGGCAAAGCACAAGCTTTGTTGGTACCTGCCAAGATGGAAAGGCTTCCCAGAACCAGCCCATGATGAGCTGGGTGTGCACCATCCCAGGACAAGCCTGGCTCCTTTCACAGCGGCAGGTTTGACCACAGGGGATCGAACTGGCTTCCAAACAACTCACAGAGACCATCCAACTCCTACCCAGGTCCCAGGCCACGACTTTTGTCACTGAAGGGACGGACCACAAAATGATGAATCCCTAGATCTTTTAAGAATCACCATCTTTCACGCCCAGAATGATTTGAAGATGCTCGAGAGGCCGCCCTGCCTGCCCCTCACAAGTCATCGCCCAAATCCAACCCTCAGACACCAAGAAGCAGCAAAGATAACAAGGATCTATTTCAATTATCAGTGTGGTGTGTGTGTGTGCGCATGCATGCTCCCATGCCTTCATGGGCATCTCTGTACAGGTGGGGAAGGAAGGTGGAGAGCGCCAGCAGGCATGGGCGCCATCTTCCAGAAGGGTTCCCTACCACAGACATCTAGACAAGACAGACAAAAGCATCAAGGTTTACCATCTTGGAACACGCGTTCCACGTTCAGGCCGTAGGTCGCGCATGTCTCGTAGTACGTGCATCTCTTCAGGTCATTTGACAGTTTCCGCGCTCGAGCATCATCAATCACACGTGGGTTGTTGGAACTTATCGCGTCTGAGACCAAAAAGTAAAATATCAAAATGTCACTTAACAAACACTGTGAAGACGTCTACAAAGCCAGAACCCTAAAAAACTCACAATACAGAGACGAGAGCAGAGGAAGTTCAGAGGGGGACCAAAGAGGGCAGTTCTGGTATTACATTAAATTTAATAAACTAAAAACAAAAACAGTAACATTACCTAGAATTTATTGAACATTTTAAGGTTTGTAATGAACTTTAAAAGTATCTCATTTTATCCTCATATCAACCTTGGGAGGTGATTATCCCCATTTTACAAAAGAGTAAACTGAGGGTGAGGGAGGTTAAATGATTTGCCCAGAGTCACACAGTTAGTGCCTGGGGCTGGATTCGAAGTCAGATCTTCCTGCATCCAAGTCTGGCACTCTAGCCGCTATATTACCTAGCTGCCCCCAAGCCCCCGCGTAACAGAAACTGATCATTTCACATGTAATCCTCTTCTTTGCTCTTTGTTGATTGAAATCACAAATCCAGATCTCAGAGACTTCAGAGGAGAAAAGCGGAGTCTGAATTCTGAGAAAGCATAATGACAAAGCATGGCAACAAAGAAGAGGTAGTGCCTCCAGCCTGCGTCTTTGCAGAGGTGGGGGGCTCCGGGTGTGGAACACTGCAAGCCCAGAACATCAGATTTTTAAAATGTTCATCAGTTTGGCGGGCTTTACCTGTGTTCTTTTTTTCCAATAAACTATGAGGGAAAACTCTCTGAGATGGGGAGAGGGACACTGGGACATTAAGGGAGAGAAAAACAAAAGTAACAGTAAAAATATCTTTTTTGAGAACCCTTGAACTTGGCATTTTAAATTGCCTGGCATTTCCTCTGAGGGAGGGGATGGATGGAAGGCCTCTTAGGTGACCTCCAGCTTTCCTTCTGTGATGCGATAAGTCACTCAAACGCTTCCCTCCCTGGGTTGGAACAAAGTGGCTGATGCCATTTCAAATTAGGCCACTAGAGGGAGGTGAAGGCAGGGATTACGGACTATTTTGATTGTCAGGTTCTCACTTAGAGATTCCTTGCAGGAAGCAAAGGGAAATACCCTTTAATGTGACAGAACCAGGAGAAAATGAAAGAGCTCGCCCACCAGTCGTGTGGACCTGAGAAGGCTCCAAAGTCTCTTCCTACCAAACGATTTCAGCATCTGAATTGCTATGGCAACCACAGAATTGACTTTGTTCCACAATTTGCTAGAAGGGTCCTCCAAAGTGATCTAGTCCAATCTCATTTTTGCAGACGAAGAAACTGAGGCCCAGGGATTATAAGCTAGAAGGACCCTTAGAGGACATATGCTCTAACCCTTTCTTTTCTTTTTGTTTCTTTTTCTACAGATGAGAACATTGAGGTCAAGTTAAGTAATTTGCCCCAAATCTCACCAATGGGGTTCACACAATTCCAGAGCGCAATGCTGTTTGTTCTACGGTCCTATGATGCTTCCTTATCAACAGACCATCATTAAGCACCTTCTTTCTATTTCCAAGGCCTTGTGCTCCGTGCTAGGAGAGAGAGGTTGATGACATACTTTATTAATTAGCTGATTATGAGAGGCACATGGGGTAGCGGTGAGAGTACTGACTCTGGAGCCAGAGAACTGGGTTAGAAACCATTTCTGCCATTCACTGTACGTATGCAACCTTGTGAGGACACTGGGCCTTGGTGACCATTGGAAGGTAGTGGTGACCCTTGGTTCTCCAAAGTCTAGACTTGAAGACAAGAAGACCTGAAATCAAGTTCCTAATCCAGAAACTGTGTGACCCTGGGCAAGTCACTACTGATCTGTGTCTCAGTTTCCTTATCTGCAAAATGGGGGTAATAGCACCAACCTCACAAGATTGTTGAAAGGATCAAATAAGAAAATATTTGCAAACCTCAAAGTGTCACGAAGTGTGAAGTATTGTTGGCGTTACGAGTATTATTGTCCATTGCAACCTGAGTGCTGCTGGCTTCCTCCAAGCTGGGAAAGCTGTCCAAGAAGCAGCCCAGCTCAGTTCAAATCTGCTCATCCCCAGAACCAGCAAGGGCCCCAGAAGGACAATTGCGGGTGTGGAGTGGGGGGGAGGGGGAGCCTCTTAAAGACCATGAGCAGAGGTGGGGGGCTGGGGACCAACACTGGTGGAGAGAATTTAGGGCTCAGGTTCAATGAGCCCAAATATATGTCATACGGATAAGAATTCAAGGGCTTCTGAAAGGTTTCCAGATTCATTAAAAGCAGGAAAAGGATGAGGACTTCAGAGAAGCATGGGAAGACTTCTATGAGCTGATGTAGAGTGACATAAGCAGAACCACCATAACTACAGTAACATAAATGAAAAGAACAAAAGAAGGAAGTCCAACTTTGAGTAGCTGACAGACCGACAATGATCTCGGAGAAGCAATAATGAAACATACTTCTCTCCTCCTGGCAGGGCTGTGGTGGAATATAAGGACAGAATACTCTATACATTGTCAGGCAGGATAAAGGTATCAGTTGTTTTTACTTAATTATCACTTTTGTTCCAAGGGGTGGAGTGGGGAAGTGGTAGTATTTCCCAAAGTGGCTGCAATATAACTTAATTAAAATATGAAGAGTGCAAGAAGGGATCAGAATTAAATGATTAGCCGAAACCAGTCTTTCAGCTGTTCTGAAGATGTCTGTGTTCTCTGATAGCCTGGGCACCAAAATAACACAAGTCAGTGACAATCAGTACTTCATATTTCCAAATCACACCACCCCCAAACAGGAACCAGAATACCAACATCACTTACCTGCCAGAGTTCTTGTGAATAGCAATGAGATAACACATGGGGAGGGTTTTGGAAATCCTTCAAGGATACAGACATATCATCAGTGTTGTGAATGATGACTAGTACAGTTTTCACAGTAAATAGGGACCTTCCTGGTAGCTCTGGAGTCAGACACAGCTCACCATGAAAATAAATGGTGACCCAAATGGCAGCCCCTTTTTAGAATATTTGGAATCACTGGGTCACTCACCCTGGGTTCCCACTAGTACCATGGGGATCTCACTCGTGTTCCGATAGTTGGCCATTCGACTGTAGTAATGGTAAACTGTCTGGAAGCTGATCTCATCCTCCAAGCTGAAGACAAATATAACAGCATCCACCCACATGGCAAACTGGGGAGGGATGTGGGTGAAGAGAAAGAAATGGGAAATTAGGTGAGAAACAGGTTGGAAACAGCTGAAAAAACACAAACATCCCAAGTGAGAGAAAACATAAACCATTTAGGAAAATGAATCTGTGTGAGTGAGGGTGTGTGTTTGTGTGTGTATGTGTGTGCGCTGAAATTTTCTGGATGAATTTGTTAATTACAAAAGCAAGGGATCAATTACAGTGATGTGAAATTGTCATGGTGCTTTGAGCAAATGGCAATCTATGCAATGCTTTTATATCACAGGTAGTTCTAGGAAATAAACATCGGACTAAGAAACATCCTTTACATGTGAATTGACAAGCTTTGAGTTATAATGGTGGTGGAGAATGTCCTAGTTCAGTTCTTCCACAAATACCCCTGTAAAGACAAACAAATGGCTCCTGGGCTTTTTACTGAAGGAGATCAGGAGAGTTGGAAGGGATCTCAGAGGGTACCCAGGAAAAGCCAGAATTGGAAAAGGATCCCTTCTACAACTTACCCAGCAATGGTTCATCTGCCCACTGTGAGAAGAGTTCCAATGAGGGAAAACCCACAACCCCTAAGTCGACCCATTCCATTCAATGGCAACTTGGTTGTCGGGAAGTTTTTCCTGACCACAAATTTAAACTGGCTTCCGTGCAACTCTCTCCCATGGTTCCCTTTTATTTGAAGTATTTTAATAAAAGGAAGGGTATTTTTCTGCAAAGAGTGATGAACTAAGAGTAAGGATGACCTGTATTCAAATTCTATTGATGCAACTTACTGGGGACTCCTGGGAGAGTCCAGTCCACTTCTCTCTCTCTCTCTCTCTCTCTCTCTCTCTCTCTGGCAATTGAGGTTAAGTGACTTGTCCAGGGTCACACAACTAATAAGTGTCTGAGGTCAGATTTGAACTCAGGACCTCCTGACTCTAGGGTGGTGCTCTATCTACTGCACCACCTAGCTGCTCCAGTCCACTTCTCTTAAGCCCCAGGTTTCTTCATCTGGAGATCAATGGTCTCAGGGTTGTTATGAGGCTCAAGAAGATAATGGCTCAAAAGCATTCACACTCCTTGGGGCTACTCATTCCAAATTTGGAATAGCCTAATTGCCCTGACATCCAGAGCAAGTCTGCCTCTTTGCAATGATCCCTGATTGACTCCTGGTTCTGCTTTCTGGGGCTTCTCCACCAGAAGTAGCCTCGTTCCTTTCCTAAAGGTCAGTGCTTGAAGACAATTCATCATGGATCCCTGGGTCTTCTCTTCTCCAGGCTAAATATTTCTATGTCTTTCAACTGATATTCAACAACAAGAAAAAAAGACTAATATTTATATAGTGCTTTAAGGCTTGCAAAGCACTTTATAAGTACTATTTTATCCTCAAGTCAACCCTGGAAGGTAGGTGCTATGATTATCCCCATGTTACAGATGAGGAAATTGAGGCAGACAGGAGACATGACTTACTTAGGGTCACACAGCTAGTAAGTGTCTGAGGCTGGATTTGAACTGAGGGCTTCCTGATTTCAGGTCCAGCGCTCTACCCCTGGCACCATCTAACTGCTGTTTCCCTTTCTAACACAGAAAGAATGGTCCCAAAGGCTAGCTAGTGCTTCTCCTGGCTGCTCTCTTCAGCCAAAAGGGCTTCAAGAAGGAAGAACAAGGAAAAAAGAAAAAAAAAGTGACCTCCGGTAGCATGTAAAGCTGTCAGAGCTCAAGGCAAGTGACCGATCTCATTTCTACCATTTGCTCTGAGCTCCTCTAAACAAGTTTAGTGATTGAGCCTGGAGGCAGAAACAACTCTATGTTAATGGCATGCACAATAAAGTTGAAAATAAGACATTTTCAGAAGCTTCCCTTTCTTTGAATTTTTCATATGTCCATTTTTCCAAGAATTTTGTCAGTGATTTTGCAAACATTTCTCTGGAAGAGAACTACCACCTGAACTTAAAAAAAAAAAATCATTTTAATGAGATTTTAAATATCCTCACATAGATAAAAAGGGCAATTACCAATCACTTAGAAAATGCCAAGAGGGAGCCTAAGGCCATTAGGGTTCCCAGCACCTTGAGGAGGGGCAGAAGGAGAAACCAAGGCACAAGTTGCTTTCTGATTTGACCCAATGACTTTCCCTAAAAGACCACATGGTCCGTTAGGTCAGACCACCTAGCCATAGTCCAGTGTGGCCAGATCCCTGGGCAGCCTTGTCTCTGGAATCTCCTCCTTCCCTTAACATTTGCCGTATAGGAAGCACAGGGTAATCTCCCCTTTGAAATTGGGGGGCTTGCATTTGAGGACCTCTGAGGTCTAAGCCCATGAAACCGAGAAGCACAACCCTCAGAGCCCTTTGGTATCATGTGACGCTCCCCTCCTCCAATCATGGACATAGAAGGAAGGATGTAGTCTAGAACAGCAGAAAGGGGGCAAGATTTGGAACAAGGTTCCAAAGAGTGGGACTCTGCCATCTTAAGTTCCTGGTGCCATCTCTGTCACTGCCTAGTGAACTTGGGAAAGGGGGTGGGGTCTTTTCCTCTCTGGATATCAGATTCCTTATCTGTAAAATGAGGGGATTAGACCAGAAGTCTTAGGTTCTACTCAAGTCCATGATGCTATGATCTCACCACCTTGGATGAGTCACTTCACTCTGCTGAGCCTCAGTTTCCTGTTCTGTAAAATGAGGACATGGGACCTTTGTGGTTTTATCCAGTGCTCCATCCACAATGGATTTCAAAAGTCATCTCCATTTCAACTCCCAGTCAGTACAGAAATTCTATAGCGCGCATCTTTTAGGGTTTCCAGTATTGCCTTCATTAATTTCCAGAGATCTGATCCAAATTCCACAGATCCCACTTGACCTGGTTGGAAGGAATGCAGACCCTTTTCCATGACTATAGGAAAGCCAGGCTGTGCGGCTGCCGCTGGGTCCGTGCTCACCTGTGCCTCCGGAGGACCCCCTTCATCTCGAATCAGCAGCAGGTAGCTTTGCCCATCCACAACTATTTCCTTCTTGAATCTCCCACCTGTCACACAAAAAGGAAAACTCGTTACAGAAAGGGGAAGAAAGGTGAAAAGGCTGAAGAGACTCAGGCTCCGTGTGGGGAAAAATACAACCTCAGCCCGCCCCAGGGGCTCAGCATTGCTCTCTAGCAATGCCAGGAGTTTTATGAGAACAGCCAAATCCAGATTTTGAAGCTCCCTTCAGAGACCCACAGGCATTCATATCTGTAGCTAGTGGCTTTCTGTGGGATCCCAGGTTCATGACTGGCAAAAGGGAACATTTTCGGGGATCATTTACACTGTAAACTCAAAAATTCCCAAAGGGCAGAAGTTCCTTTCAGAGATGATCAATCATCTCTTAGGAAAAGCAGGTACAGATTTGCTTTGACCCACATTTCAACACACACACACACTCTCTCTCTCTCTCTCTCTCTCTCTCTCTCTCTCTCTCTCTCTCTCTTTCTCTCTTTCTCTCCCCCCTCCTTTCCTCCTTCCCTCCTTCCTCTTGCCTAGGTTGTCTCTGGAATTCATTGCAGGGAAGGGTGTTGCTGAGGAACTGTATTTACTCCCCACAAGAAGCCTGACTCCAGAAAGGAAAACATGAAACATTATGAGAATGGTGACACTTTCTGTACTCACAGGGCACAATTAGAGGGGGGATGCCATCATACTACACACATGTTAGACAAAAAGGAAACGCTACTACAGGGTGATGACGTCTCTGGACTACACGGTGAGGGCCAAGCAGTGCATCTCGCTAGCAGCACGAGCAACAGACTGATCTGGGTTAGAGATAAAGGTCATCCAGGACTCCTTATCCAAGTGGAAGGGCTCAATCCCACTCTAAACAACTACTCCTTTTCTTTTTCTTTCTTTCTTTTTTTTGGACAGGGAACCCGGGGAAGCAAAGGACCGCCAGCGTATCTGGGACAACTCCCTGCAAAGAGCTGGCCATCATCTGTCCAAATAAGGGACACTGTGACTGAAATTGACTTGGCTCCCCCAGCCCTGAAACTGACACTGCAAAGCCACTGGGTAGGGACCCCTTCCCTTTCCAGGGGGAGCCCCAAATATTTCAGACCTCATGCAACCTAACTCAACTGATTCTGGAACATGGCCAATCTTCCTCAGGTTTTCTGGGATAGCCCAGATTAAATGAAGATCAGCCAGAGACACGCAGGCTATAGCCCGAGCAAGGGTTGACTTCCTGTCCTTGGGAACAGACTAGCCCTTCTGAGGCTACTGATATCATCCCAGCCCCCTTCAGTCATGGATTGTCACACCTTCTCTTTAATCAACATCTGTGATTAAGACCTTCCCCATAACATACAAGGACTGACATGAGGGAACCCCATGACTATGTTTTGACCCCAAAAGAGAACCTTTCTGCCACCAGACACTCTTTCTCCACTGGATGCCCTGTCCCCTGGAAGCTGTCCCTTACTACCACAGCTGCTGGAACAGCTGGAGTTCCCCCTTGGGCCCCAGAGCCCCACAGCTTCCCTCCTACTGGCAGCTCTGGCTAGAGCTTCTAATTCAGGGCTTAAGGCTGAAGGGATCTTGGTGCTAACCCAAGCACTATTTCTGGGACAGTTGTGGACAGGCCTCAGAAGCTAGCAATCTTTTCAACCACTGTTTTCATGGGAAATACTTCCAACAAGCAAACTCGGTTGATATGTCGTCATGGACGAGGGCATGACTGCTAAGCCATTTGTTTAGCAGGAAGAATACCTCCAGGTGAATTTGGGGATCTCTTCTATCCCTAAGTGCACAAGGGAGAGCACGATTTTGAAATTAGGGCAACTGGGTTGGAATGCTGTGCCTATCACTCGCTAAACTCCCTTTGTGACTTTGGAGAAGTTGTTCAATCTTTCAGAAGTTCAACCTTCTCGTTGATAAAATGAGGAGGCTGGATCAGAGGACCAATAGGTCATCTGGTTCTAAATCTACTCATCACATAATCTGCCTTCTGGGCCTCAGTTTCCTTAACCATAAAATGAAGAGGGAACCCAACACCCCTTCCAGTCCTAATGACCCGCATTTACTTTTCAAAAACATCACTTTGCTCATGGATGAGGAAGATGCTCTTTCTGGCTTTTTGTGATGATTTGAAACAAATCAAAACTTAAGTAATTATTGGGGGGTGGGATGGGGGAGAGAACACTAAGCTGGCAGGACCGGGTACAGCAGACTTCCCTTGCTACACAAAATCCAATGGTCTCTCACCTAGGTCCTTTGCCAATATGAGTTTTCTATGGATCTCATTCACAAAAGGAAAGTGGGAGACAAAAGTCAAATCCTAGCTATGGTTTTTTGCCCAAATTATGTTTGAGGATAGAGCAGGATAGAGCAGGAGCATGGTATCGTCTCCAGGAAGTCTTGCCTCTACCATCTTCTGGTTATTTAACCAAAGCTAAGTTAGTCATTTAACCTCTCAGCGCCCTAGGCAATTCTCTAAGAGAATAGGGTAGAGACAATTGCCAATCTGCTTCAGTCAAAGGTATTTATTTCCATAACAGGAATTCCCTATAATTATGAAAATCAAAGGTCTAGAAAAGTAACAATAACAATAAGTCTGGGAAAGAATACTGAAAAATTAAACGTTCTCCAAAAGTGACAAAACAGCCAAAGAAAATGAGTAGAGAGCTCTCCAATTATTATGTTTTCCCTTGAGCCACAAGTCAAAGAACAACACTTTCTACTACCCTACTGTATTAAATACAATTCCAGGTCCCAAACAAAGGCATGGGAATTGATGTTCAAACATCTCAGCCCCAACTGGAGGCAGTTCTTAGCTCTAAAAAATGAAAAGAGGAATTTTTCTTGATCGCAGGAAAACCCAATTCTCTTGACCATTGACCATAGTAACACCCCATAGAGGAAGGTTAACCTTCTCAGGTCTCCAATTTGGAAACCTCCTTGCCCCGAGGCCATTTCCATGGATCAAGAAGCAGTGGAAACAAGGCAGGACCTATCCTGGGGTCACACACAGGAACTAATTCTCCAAGTATAACATATGAAGATGCCATACTAGTCCGTCTCCAGGTGGGGATTCTTGGATTCCCCAATCCTACTCATCCAGTATCAATGCCATATGTGCAAGGAGAGACTCATTAATGTACTCTCTAGTTTTCACTGTTGCTCCAATAATCCTGAGCCCTCCCCAGTCCCACTCCAACACCAATCCAGTCATTGATTATCCCATTCCATTATGACCTATGGAATTCCCACTCAATTGCCTGTAAATTATTACACATCTTTGAAATTTTCCATCAATATCTCTTCTACCTTCAATATAACAGAATGGCTCAAACATTGAACTCGGAACAAGGAGATCTGGGTTTGAATCCTACTTTGTTCAGTTACTAGCTATGTGTTTGGAGACAAGTCACTTCAGTTCTAGGAACTTCAGTTCCCCCATCTGTAAAATGGGCACAGTGACATCTGTAATACCCACTTCAAAGTATGGCAAGAAACAAACTGCAAAATTTAAAGCACTATATAAGTGTGAACTATTAGTACTGGACTGGTGTTTTATTTTAACAGTAACGTGTGTCTCCTAGGAAACATGACATACCTTTTGAAGCCTTTTCTACTGGACTCCTGACTCCTGGGGCTAGGAGGAAGATAGGTGAAGATATTGCTTAGTTCCTGCTGCTTTAACTGCCATTTCTCATTTATGTTTCCATTTTGAAGTTCATGTTATCACCAGCACGACCCTCTCCCTCCCTGTCTTTGCTATGGATCATCTACCTACTTCTACATAATTACTCCAACTTTATCCATGACTTTGGAATGTCCTTCATGGTCTTCTTCATCCTCTTCCCTGCCGATCAATATTCTCAGACATTTCTGCTAAACAAGGTAACAAATTCTTTGGCAATCTGAGCACATGTCTTCAGCCTCCTTCCCTTCCTCACTTTAGTCACATACCGATGTGCTTGCTAAGTCTTCAGACGCCCTCCCAAAACTCCATCACCTCTACGAAATGAAACCTTAAAATTCCACTCTTCAACCACGTGGTCATTCCACCTTCCTGTTCCTCCCACTTCCCCTTTCTACGACCTCTTATCCTTTGGTCCATTCCTATTTTTATAGCCCATCTCTGCTTCTCCACTTGGACTTGTATCCATGCCCATCTCTCCTACCATGGTTTGCCTCAGTAATGTTGTGAGATCTACTATCCCTAAATTCCTTATGACTCTTGAACTGATATTTCTGATCTTTACCTATCCATTCTGATTTCTTTATACCCAGGTATTACAGAAGAAATGAATGAAATCAAGCTGGTATTAGCCATGACAAATTCATGGTACATTGCATCCTCTACTTAACAGCAATTAGCCTCTGAGTGCGTGATGCCTGCTCCTTTTTTCTTTGCTAATCTTAGGTAAATAAGCCTCTAGAAGCAGAATAGACCAGGTCAAGCCCTTTGAGCTAGAAAAGGTTACAAAAGCCATCAGAGATCCCTAAGTATCTGGAGTTGGTAACAAGAGTAGCTGAGACCAGAAGGAGTCAGCCTTAAAGAGTGTCCTCCTTGACCCAAGCCAGCAGGCTATCTTTCCGTCAGCCAAGACAGCATGTCCTGCAACGAGCCAGTCAGTTTTCAGGAGATGAAAATCCAAGAAAAGAATCATCAAAGCGTATAGCTTCAGTAGTCTAAATACAAATAAACAAAGTATAGATAACTCAAAGCAAGGTGAACTTAAGAACCTAATACAAAGAGCAATATTTTGCCTTATGTGTGGTGGGATGGGTCTATTCAAAAGGAAAAGACTAAGTTAGTGTGTGTGTGTGTGTGTGTGTGTGTGTGTGTGAAAAAGAGAGAGTGTGTGAGTATGTGTGTGTGTGTGCGCATGTGTGTAGGGGGGAGTCATAAAAGAATTGAGTATTATTAGGAAGACATATTCATGCAAGGAAATACAAGGTTTCCAGAAAAGGCAAGGATACACACACACATCACAATTATATCTCAAATTTCCAGAGGACTTTAAAGTTTAGAACATGCCTTCCTCCTAATCATACTGTGGGTCAGCAGTGTAAGCTTATTTTCCCATTTTATACAGGATGGTACAGAGAGCTCAGGGAGCATGCCCCTCATCCCACAGCTAAGAAGCGTCTGGCCTGGGATTCAAACCCGGGGCTCCTGGCTACACACCCATCATTGCCACCACACCAAGTTGCCATTCCTATGCCCTCCACCCTCCCCCGAAGAGAAGTAGAGAGGCATAAACATAATTATGATGATTTCAGACACCTGTTTTGCAAGTTTACAGAGTATCATATCCACAAATCCCAGGAGAAGCAACCAGGACACAGCCTGACATTAGTTTACACTTAGGTTCCTTTCATCTGCCATGACTCCTTCTGATCCTGGAAAGCCCCTCCCTGCCTTCATGACAGGTGATGGACCTCCAGGCACTCCGCGATTCCTTGCCATCTTTGGGCCTCCACAAATGACTCCAGCCTGGTGGACATGAAGCTATAATGCTCCTTGTAGACTGGAAAACACTAAATGTCAACTGATCCAATTTTTAGTCCCAAAGTTTCATTAATTTGCTTTGGCAAACATTCAGTTCAACAAGTATTTATTAAGCATCTACTGTGTATAAGGCACTGTGCTTGGTGCTGGGGATAAAGGAATCACAGAAATCAGCTAGAAGAGATCTGGAAGGTCATTTAGTTAGATCCTCTTATTTTACAGACAAGGTTGTTGTTTGTCCTTCAGTCTTGAAGAAGATATAACAGCAGGAAAACGATGCCAGGACTTGCAAGACGGTTGAATTTAAGTGAGGCAGGGCTATGCAAGGTCACCAGCCTCACTTTCTCCTCCAGAGCCATCCGGGTCCAGAGATAAAATATAGATTAAGATGAATGGAGGTGGCCTCCCTTGAAAATTTTAACAACATGGCCAAGATGCTGGATTAGAAGCCATGGTGATACCGCAATTTAGTTGTAGGGATGTTAAAACATGCTTTTGTCAAAGTTGTCCTCAGATCTGGGAGTTTGAGAACCATTTTGATAGGACACAAAGCACCCTGCATCCCTCCCTTAGGCAACTCTGGTACCAAAGTTTTGATGAGATAAAAATGCTTCCTGTTGGAATTTTTTCCCTAAACAAAATGCATTTTCTCTTACATATTTAAAGGCATGCAAATGAGCCCATAAAGAATATAACCATAGAATAATCATTTACCCCCAAAATTCTGTTCTTTCTGTGGTAACAGAAAAGGAAACTGAGTCCCAGGGGGGTTAAGGGACTTACTCAGTTTCACATAGGATATGTCAGAGTTGGGATCCCAATCTATCCCCAAAGGCAGGGCTTCTTCCAACAAACAGCAGCCCCTGCCTGCAAGGAGTTGACATTTTGCCATAGGAAAAGACCAGGTAGACCCATAATTAATATAAGACACTTTGAGGAGGAAAGAGAGATTCTAAATAACAAAAAACCAAGGGGAAATGCAGATCTTGAGACAGGGAGGTGAGAAGATAGAGCATTCCTGGCCTGTGGGGCTGGCAACCTGCACAAAGGCAGAAGGCTGATGGTGGAGTCCTGGCAGATTGGCCTGAGCGACACTGAGGATGGGACGGAAGGGTGGCGATGTTCAATATACTTGGAAAGGCAGCTTGGAAAGTTAAAAGGGAATGTGGCCAAGCTGCTGACTTAAGAGCAGAGGAAGACCCTTCTCCTTTAACAGGATTATGCCCAAGTAATAAGATTAATGAATTCTAATGATTTTACAGCAGTTGGGCACAATGCTAGAAGGTATTAGGGACAGACTCGGTGGTATCAGGAACACTTAAGGCTCTTGGCCGGTCTGTGACTGGTCTTAATTTCTGCTTAAAATGACTTCCTACTCCAGGGGATCTTCATAGACTTAACAGAGACAGCCACATAATGCCTGGATTTGCCGACTTTGAGCACAATAATGACAGGAAAGGAAAGGAGACAAAAAAATCCCATCCAAACCACTGCAAGCTGGCAGGAAGGAGGGCAGCTCCATTAGTCAGGGTGTCTGTCATCAATATCAGGTCTTGGAAGATTTGCACCCAGGACAAGTACCAGCAAGGGAGGGCAGCAGGGTGCCGGGTGGAGAGTGCAGGCTGGGATTCAGAGGAACTGGGTTTGAATCCTGCCTCAGTCCCCAAATGACACCAGAGGAGTGAGTCTCTTCACCTTGTCTAGGACTCAGTTTCCTCATCTGTAAAATGGGGGCAGGGGAGCAGATTGAATGGTCTCTGAGGTCCCTTCCAGCTATAAAAACATATGTTCTATGTTCTTGGCAAGCAGGAAAAAGCAAGCTCTCCTCTGCTGAGTGGGATAGGGTTTAGAGAAAGATACTAGTACTCTGTATGAAACTGTCATCATGTAGGGAAGGGAGAAAGGATAAGGTGGGGGAGGGAAAGAGCTCACTTATCTTGAAAACTTCCTATTTTAGCTAATTAATCTTGAGACAGCAAGGTGGTTCAGTGGACAGAGCGCTAGGCCTGGAGTCAGGAATATGTGAGTTCAAATTCAGCCTCAGACATTGCCTCTGTCTGCCTCAGTTCCTTCAACTGTAAAATGGGGATAAAAATAGCATCCACCTCTCAGGGTTCTTGTGAGTATAAAATGAGATAATATTTGTAAAGTGCTTAGCACAGTGCCTGGCATAGAAGTGTCATATAAACGCTAGCTTTATTATTATTATTATTATTATTATTATCATTTTACTACTACTACTACTACCACCACTACCACTACTACTTTTTTGTTTTAAATTGTTTAGTCATGTCCAACTCTCCACGACCCTGGTTTTTTCATAGGATTTTCTTGGCAAAGATAAACCACCAAAAGGTGGATTGCCATTTGCTTCTCCAGATAATTTTATAGATAAAGAAACTGAGGCAAACAGGATGAAGTGACTGGCCCAAGGTCACACAGCTGGGAAGTCTGAGGGTGAATTTGAACTCAGGTCCCCCTGACTCCAGGCCCAGAGCTCTAACCACTAAAGTGCCACCTAGCTGCCACTACCACTACTCCTACTTCTACGTTAGTGTGGTAGAGAGGCCTGCAACACTAAGAAGCTAAGTGACTTACCCAGGGTCTCACAGTCAATGCCAACATGCCTACATACCTCCAAACTCCCAGTCAGAACACCGACACACAAACACGTAAGAACAACATTTTTAATATAAGTTGTCATATTTTCCAATCTGTGTGGAATGAAAAGTTCTCCAAATATAGAGATCTAGCCAAAGAAACAAAGACCATTTGGGAACAGCACAAGGTCTACATCCCCACCACCCTTTCAGCTACCAGAGATATCCCCAAGAGAATTCGGACAAGTCAGCTGAAGGCAAACTTGTGTCCCTGTATTTTTAGTGAATTGCAAGCTAAGAACTACAGTGATGATAATAATTCGATCCATATGCACAAGAGGTTGCCATGGAGAACAGGACAGTGACTTGTCCCAGTTCTGTGTCTCTGAACCCACTCAATAGAAGATGAGCCAGAGGACAAGAATTAGAGCAGACATTGGCACTTGGCTGGTCCTCCAAGGTTCACAAAGCCCTCTCCATGCCCTGTTTTATTGGACACTTACAACACTCCTATGAGGCAGGCACTGCAGCCCT